AAGTCATTTTAAGTCAAAAACCACAAAAGTGCTCGGAAGGATATCGAAAACCTCCAGACACAAAAGAAGGGCCAATCTAGACCAAACTCGACATTTTGGAGCTAACCACGCTGACGGAATTCTCATCCGAGCGCGTTTACTCAGAATGTTGACCAAAGTCAAACTTAAGCCAAATTTCAAAGGCTAAAACGCCTAATCGCACCGACTCACACTGAAAACCTCGAGAGTCATGTCGACCATGCTACTAGCCTAAAATGACCCTTCCGGAGCTGATGGAATCGTCAGAATTGGATTCCGATGTCATCTTCTTGAACTTTTGATCGAAAATGATCGTTCAAGGTTCATAAGCTCCAAAACACAAAAACTCGCACCAAGACCAAACGAACGACCAGGTGACCGAACTGTCAGTCCCAGCAAGTCATAAATGACTTGGGGTCGCTATAGGAACGCTCTAAACGACACACAGAAGGCAAGACACAGAAATGACCATGAGGGTCATTACACTGAAGCACCGATGAAAGCCCTCCAAAGGAGTGCTGTAATAATTTCAACCCTTGACGGCTAAAAAGTCAAAGCTCCACATGATTCATCAATGCATTTTTTTCTAAGCCTTGGCATAGCAGCCTCACAAACAACAAATTTCTTAACAATAATATCTTGGTGTATAATTGGAGTGTAGGTTAACTTGAAAAGTCTCGATATATCTCTTGTTGGGAAAATATTATCCAAATTGAAGCTTAGAAAATTAATTTTTTCAACAGGAGTTTCCATTTTACACACTTTTGCGCACTCAAAAGCAAATTTAAAATCTGAGAAACCATCCATTGCAGGGTGTGAACCACTTAATGAGACTGCTAGGCCACCACATTCAAACTCGGTTACTTGTGCAATGGCAATAGGTGAAACCATCAGATTAGTTTCATCTACATTCTTATTTTCATGTGGCCAAAATAAACCCGCAAGACCAAGGTCCTTGCGTGTTTTCTCTAGGAAATTATCAAGCTTACAATTGACCTTGGCCTTAGTGTAGGAAACACCTTGATCAAGACAAAGAATCGAACATTCATCTTTATCGTACCTTCCTGCTGCTGGATAAACATGAGTTAATATCTTTGAAATAGATTGTTCAATTTGCTCATCGATAGTGGAGTTGTTGATGAAATTATTATTAGCATAGAAAAGAACAATCGGGACGTGTTCTTTCTCAGATATTTGGTCGAAGAAAGAGAGGTTGTAATGCTGAAGGTGAGGAGGAGTAGGTAAAAATGGCTTAATGAGCTTTGTGCATAAGATTTCAATTTCCATTTTGCTACACAACTCAACTAAGGCCTAACTATAAAAATAAAAAGGCAGCATTTGATAAAAGTTTAGAACCTTATATTGTCACTATCATAAATACTGGACAAATATTTATTGGAATTTGGAGGGCTAGCACCGGTCACTGTCTCAAATAAGGTACAATTATATAGCAATAAAAACGTTATATATATACTGGAGGGCTAGCACGGGTCCAACAATCCGTTTATCTCTTAATTACTTGTTAATTTAATACATTTTTTTATAATGTCTTTAATTTTAATTTGTTTATAATTTTTTATTAATCTATTTTTGAGATAATGATAGATTCTCTATATTGATAAGAATTAAGTTTAAATAATTAAAAGTTCATTAATTTTAAAATTTCTCATTTTTAACTTTAATAAGAAATTTTTATAGTCCCAAAGATATTAGGTTATAAGTAAGAATACAAGTTTTCAAAAGTTTTATCGTCATACAAATGTATGATATTTTTAATATCATAATTTGTTATAAGTGTAGAGTTAGACTATGTTAAATAAAATAGAGGTAAAAAACTTAACCTCGTTGAGTGTTTAATTATATTAAAGTATATTAATTACCATGAGTACGTGATTTAATGATACGTCCATTTTTAGTTATCATGTTGTGTTTTTCGAAAGTTAATTTGACTAATTTTAAAGTTAAATTAGATTACATTAATTTGATATTTTAAATAAAAAAAGATATTCAAAAACTATCCGAAAAGTAATATATATTTGGGTATGAAATCTTTAAGTTTCTTCAATTAAAATAAAATTTACATAACTGATAACTACATAAAAAAAAGTCGCAATAATTGATAATTCAAGTTATTTAAAAATATATATATGAAATAATTAAAGTAAATAAAGAGTCCGTTTGAATTAGCTTGAAAAAAAAATATAGCTTTTAAGTTGAAAAAATAAAAAGTCAAACGTAAATGACTTTTTAGTCAAAAAATAAAAAGTAGACAAAGTCCAACTTCTGATTTTAAACTTATTTTAAGTCATTTTTTAAAACTTATTTTAAGTTATTTTTAAGAGCCCGTTTGGATAAGTTGAAAAAGCAATTTTAATTCAAAAAATAAAAAAAAATCAAACTTTAAATGACTTTTAAGTAAAGTAGGGGAAGTCTTACTTTTGATTTTAAACTTATTTTAAGTCATTTTTAAAATTTATTTTAAGTTATTTTTAAGAGCCTGTTTGGATAAGCTGAAAAAAGTAGTTTTAAAGTTTAAAAAAAAATCAAACTTTAAATGACTTTTAAGTCAAAAAATAAACAGCAGAGGAGGTCCTACTTTTGGTTTTTTAAACTTATTTTAAGTTATTTTTAACTTTGTTTGACACTCTCAAAAAGGTAAAAATAACTTAAAAGTAGGTTTGACAAACTTTTTAGCCCATCCAAACAAGCTCTAAATTTGTCAAACAGTCTTAAAAGCTAAAAGTAACTTAAAAGTTGATTTAACCAATTTTTAAGTTAATCCAAACAGACTAAAAGACTTGTTTGAATCTCAAATTTTGAATATTGTGCTACCTTTAGAAGCAAAAAATAAATGAATTACCTTTAGTAAAGCTATACAAATTTATTCATTTATTTTTGTCCACAAGAATTTTCCTTGAACTTCTTTTTTCCAAATTGAAATAAATATTAAGAAGCAATAAATAAATAAATTTTTCACTAAACTAATCAATTGTAATTGAAGAGTAGTTTATTTAAATAAATTTAATATATACTAAACGTAAATTATATTCACATTTATTAATGACTATTGATGATGGGTCTCTTATATCATCATGCAACTATTCAGAGAAATAGATGAAAAAATTACTACTATCAACTAATAAAATGACTAAAATGCCATCATCAAATAGAATAATGTCAATAAGCTAGCATGATGATACCAAACTTTCACTCATGTTTTTATAATAGTAGAAAACAAAAATAAATATTACCAGAGAACCTCATATAAATAAAAAGGCAGCAAGTAGTAAAAGTAAATTAGAACCTTTAAATTGTCTCTATCATCAAGTAGCTCACTGACTCATAATGTTCACTGAAACACAATCTAGTCGAGGATATATAGTAATTGGGCGGGGCGGAGCGAAGCAGTTTATATGTGGCGCAGGGTGTATTGGAGCTTTTATAAGTGTGGGGTAGGGTTGGGTGGGCTTAAATATAATTTTTCATAGATGTATACTCTTATATTTATATAGTAAATTGCTCATCTGCTCTTGTGGATGTAGGTCGATTGACCGAATTACGTTAAATCTTTGTGTCTTTTGGTATATTTCTCGTTTGTCTTCTTACATCAAAAACTTGTTACGTCCATACGCACATACAAGTGTACGTGGTCGTGCAAGTAATAAAGTAGCCATTTTTAAGAGCCGGTTGTCGTACCCACAAAGACTAGAGATTAGATGATATTTCATTTTTCCAATAACTTTAATTTGAATTTCCAAAAAGGTTGATGAGTGATTCTAAATTATCTATTATTCAAAGTACATTAAACTAACTAATATGATTCAATTTCAAGTTGGAGTTAAAAAAAAATTGACTTAGAAAATTCGAGGAATGGAGTCTACTTTGAATTTTTGCATAATGTCACGACCCAAATTCACAAGTCGTGATAGCACCTATGTTCCCAACCAATAGGTAAGCCAACCCAACATATTTTACCAATCTTAACTAACTAATAAGGTAGAAAGGTAAACAATGAGTAAAAATCTCCGACACTAAGTTCTTAATAAATACAACATGCGGAAAACTAGAATACCACCCAAGAATTGGTGTCATAAGTACAAGAGCCTCTAAATATGATGCAAGTGTGGAACTAAATGACAAATCCAAACATAAGGGATATTCTGTCTGAATACTAAAATAACAGAATAAATAAAAAGTAGAGGGAGGTGTGGGCCACGGAACAACTAAGCAGCTCACCACATCTTCAGGCTTGGACTCAAAAAACTTCACGAGATGTGCTCGTACTCAGAATCGAATCTGCACCACAAAAGAGTGCAACAAGTGTAGTATGAGTACGAAATCACGTGTACCCAGCATATCTCATAGACCGACAGTGAAGAAGTAGTGACAGGAGTTTAAATAATAAAAATAAGTCTTTTACTTATACAAGTCTATAGTACGCTTACCGGTCAAGTTTCATCAAAATAAGGATAATCAAGCTCCACATAATGTACAACCACCAATAATAAATGATGTAATGAGATGCAGTGCAATGTGACACCATGAAATGATATGCCTCAGAATGCCAAGTACTCTCTCAACCATATATATATGATACTCCTCGAAAATACATCGAGAATTCATGACCCATGGGGGACTCGCGAGGTCCATATATCGAAACGAATGATCTCCACGTGCCTGTGCGGACAATCTCAACGCACTATGATAAAGTCAAACAATTTTCGCACCAACGGACTCCATGTGCCCAAAATATAATCTTAACATCTCATCATCCCCAGCACAGATGATCTCCACGTGCCCAAAATATAATCTTAACATCTCACCATCCCCAGCACAGACGATCTCCACGTGCCCAACTTATACTCAATCTCATGTCAATGTATGTGCACAATATAATGTCAAATAAAGGGGATGATGATGCATCTCAATCAATCAAATATCAGCATAATACATAACCACCTCAACCATCACAAGTATACGGGTTCAAATAAGAACACAATCACACAAAATAATTAGTCAATAATATATCAGCTAATGCCCATATGCTTTGGCATTCTCGGATTAAAATCCGCATTCTATAGTAATAAACTTTCCCTTTACAACACCGGTACTCGTACCAATGCCCGTCACATCATTGGTACGAGACCCCCCATCTTTCACCCATACCCATTGTCTATTCCATTTTTTAATCTTTAAATTAGGAAAAAATGTCCTCCAACGAAGTCTAAAAGTCTTATACCTTGAATGCCGAACTCGTGCCACAAATCCTTAAGATTTTTCCTTCCCTTTTCGCAAAGCTTTAGAACGTTCCCAATCTACCAATTATGCAATATTCATAAGTAAGCAAGTTCATAGACACTCATATTACTACACGTCTAACCTAGACTAGAAACTAATCAAAAATGCTATAATCAAGCTCCTAAATTTGGTGCCAACTAATATGTCACATCTTATATATTCCTATAATTCAAGCCTAGGGTTAAGTCTTAAGTCCTTCAAATAACATAATTCTAATGACATTCACAAGATCTAATACACCTAATGTTTAATTACATATCTCAATAAATGCAAACTTGACTCATGATTGACAAATTCTTAAATTGTTTGGCTCCCTAAAAGTACATCAGACATGTATCCAAGGAACTGCTTCTTACTATTGTATGCGAATTCAAACTTAACCAACATTACAACTTATCTAACTAAGAATCACCAGTTGCGGACCAAAAGCAATTATCATGTGACAGTGCATCAACATTGATTTTAGTCATAAGCAAATTACCTACGCCAATAGTTTAAGTTGCAAACAAAATCAAAATGGAGTAATTAAATTCCATATTGTGATTTGCTGTATACCACCGATCAAGGAGTTGAAACTGTAGTCTTAAGCTAGTATAAAACCCCAAAACAGTGACAAGAAATCCACAATTTTCACTCAACTATAACCTGCACTTAAATCATGAACCATCAATTTAAACCCAAATCCCAACGTTCCTTAATTTCCATTTAATAACTCCCCAATCATTACCTAATAATTATCACCCATTGTAACAATAAACATATGCATTATACAATTCACAACTCGCCTGAAAGGAAAATTGTTTTACCTGGAGTCTGTGGTTTCTCTTCTCCCCGCACACGTTTTGCCTAACTCTGTTACTGGTGTTATGCTAATCACCCATTTAACTTAAATCAATACATGGGCCAAGTGGTAAAAAGGTACTAAACAAATGAGCAAATTATAGAAATCACATCTTTTTAAGGCAAAATTACAATTTATCCCTTAAAAG